AGGAAAGGAAAGGAAAGGAAAGGAAAGGAAAGGAAAGGAAAGGAAAGAAGGAAGGAAATGCATTGATACTTAAGAAGTTCAGCCTCCACAACGCTGATTACTATTTTGCGAACTAATATTTAGAATCAGGATTCTAAAGAATATTTAGAATTGCCTGTGGCCACATGTGAGACCAAGATATCACCTGCCTTGTTTATTTCTGTTTCAGGCAACGTGTCAACGAAGCCAAATGTAGTTCAGTACAAAACAGGTCAGGAGCTGAACTTGCAATGCTCCAATTTGGCCCTTCCCGCCCTTGTTTGCATTTAGCTATAATAATAATAATAACAACAGTAACAGAGTCGGAAGGGACCTTGGAGGTCATCTAGTCCAACCCCCTGCTCAGGCAGGAGACCTATACTAGGGATTCGAACTGCCGACCTTTCTGATCGACAAGCTCAGCGTCTTAGCCACTGAGCCACCTAGCCAGACTATCTTTTTGGGGGGCGGGGGGGTGAGTGACATTCGGGGAACAAAAATGAAGTCTTACTCTACATCTCCACGAAACTACCTTGAGTGCCACAATCCGCCAATTGTCCTTGGACTGCACAGGCCCTTTTCTATCTTCTTCTTCCTGAGCTGCCATCAGTTTCTTCCTCCTCTGAATCTTTCATCTGATCTTATAGAAACTTTTAGTATTCAGTCTTTATTTTTTTAATTATTTGGTTTTTTTTAGCAACCGGGAGCCCCGCGGGGAAAACATCTCTGCTTGGACTTCCCAAATGTTAACAAAGCACATCTATTAACCAACTTCTGGGATTTAGGAGGAGGGGGGGTTATTTTTAATTGTGAAAACGAACTCAAAATTCAATCCTTCCTGTGGTTTGCTCCCTCGGCATTTGAACTGTGGATGTTTGCAATCAACCTTGAGGCCTTTTGCTGTAAATATGAAACATTTGATCCTGGATTTTCCTAGTAAAGGTAAAGGTTCCCCTTTGCACATATGTGCTAGTCCCGTGACAGCGAACCTGTGGCACGCGTGCCACAGGTGGCACGCGGAACCATATCTGTAGCCACGCAAGTGTTGCCCTAGCTCAGGTCCAGTGCGCATGTGCGCGCCGGCCAGCTAATTTTCGGGCCTTCTGGGCCCACCGGAAGTCAGGAAACGGGCTGTTTCCTGCCTCCAGAGGGCCTCCAGGAGGGCGAGGAAGGCTGTTTTTGCCCTCCCCAGGCTCCAAGAAAGCCTCTGGAGTCTGGGGAGGCTAAAAAGCAGGCCTTCCGAGCCCACCAGAAGTCGGGAAACGGGCTGTTTCCGGCCTGTTGATGGCTTTTGCAGAGTTTGTGGGTTTACGGGCAGGATTTGAACACAAGCTAGACGGGCCAAGGAAAGAAAAGACTGGGAGGAATCGTGCGAAGCTCATCATCTGCGACTCACCAGACCGGTGCTTCGCTTAACAACGGTGGCAAATCAGGCAACAGCTTGCTTAATAACTGCCGTGCTTAGCCATAGAAATTTCTGGCCCAAATTGTGGTCGTAAATCGAGGACTATCCGTGCTTTAAAATGGTAGTTCTGGGCTTTATACCGTTGGGGCCCTAATTGCGGTGCAGCAGAAATGAAGTCACCGCGTTGATGAAGGTTTAACTTCAATGGACACTAAGTTCAACAGGTTTTTAGAGGGTTAGAGCAGCGTTTCTCAACCTTGGAAGCTTGAAGATGGGTGGACTTCAACTCCCAGAATCCCCCAGCCAGCGGTGGGGGATCCCCCAAGTGGTGTTCTTTTTTATACAGTCAGCTTATTGCCTACACAAACCGGGTCCTCATTTTACCAACCTTAGAAAGGATGGAAGGCTGAGTCAACCTTGAGCCTGGTGAGATTTGAACTCGCAGTAATTGCAGGCAGCTGGCAGCTAAGTGCTAATTAACAGCACTTTAGTCCGCTGTGCCACCAGGCTCTTAATATATTATATTAATATATAATATATATATTAATATAATATTTATATATTCCTTTACATTTTTTTTAGGTAAAATTGACAGCTTCTTATGAGAATTACAAGGACAGAGTCTGCTAACCCAGCTAAACAAAGAGAACGACACTTAGCCAATGACCTTTTTTTTTTAAAAAAAAGTTTACATTTCTCTTCCTGCACAGAAATTAGTGAAGAATAGAAACTAGCCAGGAAAAAGTTAAGCACAGGCAGAAAGCCCCAAAGTAGTACACGTACTTCCGTTGCACAACTTTTGAGTGCGTCAGCAGGTTCTGGAGGCGCCGGATCTGAAACGGGGGAAAGAATATTAACCAACCTAGCGAGGTCCCCCCCCGAAGGAAGGCCGTTCATAAAGAAGCAAAACGGGGAACTCCTTTTTTTTCCCCCCCCCCGCCAACTAATAAATTTTATTTAAAGGCAAATCCTTCTGGGTTTGGGCTGTGGCAGCTATGCTGGAGAATTCTGGGAGTTGAAGTCCGCAAGTCTTAAAGCAGCCTAGTTTGAAGATCTCTGGTTTAACCTAATGTTTTCAATGATGGTTCTCTCTTTCAAATCATCTTTCATACCTCTTGGTAGGAAGTACGCAGAGCGATGGTCATTTCTTCCATGTCGGTATTCTTCACGTCTGCTTGGAGTTGACTTTGTGGGGGGAACAAGACACAAAAGGAGAAGGATCGCATAGTCCAAAGAGACAGGTTAACCCTAAACGTTTGTTAAGTATATGGATGGATCGCTATCAATGTTAAGTGAAGACTAGATCCCACTCTCAGATCCTTACGGATGGGAGACAGGTATAAATCAAAAATAAATAACACATTATTTTCCTATTCTGCCTTCCCAGCCTCCGTTCGGTTTCATGAGCACGGGAGAACCCTGTGGCCAGGAGTCCCACCGGCAAACAACCAAATTGTCGTTGGAAAACTTGGTCTTTTGCAAAAAGGAAGAGGGTGGGGGGGAAATATTTGACAGCTTCTCCATACTTAATGGCGTTGTCTTTCTCCTTGCACTGCTGTTCTAGCCTGAGAATCTTCTGCTTCAAACCATTTATCATCTATTCCAAGAGAGAGAGAGAGAGGAAAAAAGAAGAAGAGGTTGCCTCTTTATTCTACTTTCCTGGTTCTGGAAAGCTATAAATGCAGAACAGAAGGAGCCCCCCAGCCCAAAAAGGTGCATTTACCGAGTTGCTCTCATTTTTCTGTTCTGTCCGTACCCAGCTAAATTCAGAATACTGAAAAAGAAAAAGAACACAGAGCACTGAGCGTTCCTGATTAGTGAACTGGAGAATGTGTGACGACGAAGGTTCATTCTCCAAGATTTGTGGGTTGGTTTCTGAATGTTTCATTACCAGGCTGGGTAACATCTTCAGCGGAATTTAGGGGATGTCAGGTTCGATGTTCTGCTTATAAGGGCTTTGTGTGGTCAGGTCGTCTTGTGATGGGAAGGTCACCAGCGGTGAAATCCGGACAGATCTATCCAACTCATGCGATCCGGTAGGGCTGGCGGTGGGGGGCTCCGCTCACCCGCCGGGACGTCATCACATCCCATGTTTGACCCTCTGCGCATGCACAGAAGAGGCGCGCGCACTCACGTTTCCGATCCGATAGCGAAGGTACCATGTTTCCCCAAAAATAAGACCCTGTCTTATATGTTTTTGAACCCTGAAATAAGCGCTTGGCCTTATTTTGGGGGAGGTCTGATTATTTTGGGGCCCGTGGAGCAAGATGGGGCTTCTCTTGCCATCTTACTTGATTTCCAGCTCTGCGTTTAAATATTTTCAGGGAGGGATTATTTTCGGGAGGAGGCTTATTTTAGCACATGCGCTCAAAAGCCCGATTGGCCTTATGATCAGGGGATGTCTTATTTTGGGGGAAACAGGGTAAGTGCATTTTACCCCTGAAGGTCACATCAGGTGAGGGTCGGGTCAGGTGTGATCGGTTACACCTCATCCATCACAAGACCCTCACCTGCCGTAACCCTCACTATATGTGACCTCCCCATCACAAGACCTACTGACCACACAAGCCAGACTTCGAAGTCAGACTTCGATGCTATCTCAAAATAAATGAATTTCCAAACTGCCAATCTTTAAGGAAATCTTTTCTTTAATTGAGCACAGCCACCGGATCATGACTCGATGCGGACAAGACTGACCTTTTGCCCCCCAAATCCCTCCCTTTCCGATCCCCAAATATCTGCTTCTCATTGGCTATCTTCCAAGTCATTCTTCAGACTCCTTGTCTCGTCATTTCCCAGGAATGTCTCCCCCCCTTCATTTCCACGACAACCGGACATCAAAGGGATTTAGCAGGCAAAAGTTCAGCGCTTACCTCTCTCTCTCTCTCTCTCTCTCTGCTCTCTATGCCAGCGAAACGCTGACACTTATAAGCAGAAGGACACTGGCACTCACATCCTCTAAACTCCGCTGAAGACGTTACCTAGCCTGGTAACAAAACATTCAGAAACCAACCCCCAAGCTCGGATAACAAACCTTCGTCCTCATCCTCCCCCCGAGCCACTGAGATTCGCCACCAGGGAGAAGGTGTGTTGCTGGGTTTTGCAAGTTGGCTGAATCAAGGCTAGCTGTGCCAGACTTCAGCCCCAGAAACTTAGAAAGCCCAAAGCAGCCAGCTTCCCTGCTCGGGGATCAGAAGACGAAAGAGCCATCAACAGGGATCCTCTGCTTACCTTGAAGGGATCCAAAAGTTGCTCGATTTGTCTGTCCTTCCGGTTGTTGTCTTCTTCCACTCGCCGAAGTTTGGTTTTCATCCGATCTGCTTCGCACTTCTGAGCTTGGATTGTCTACCATGGAAGGGGGGGTGGGGGAGAGAAATCTTTCAGAATCCTTGAGCAAAGTGATGGTAAACCGAAACAAGGGGATAGGAGAAAATTTATCTCACAAGGTGGCATCAGAGAATCTCTCATTTCTTTTACCTTCCCGGGAATCTTGTCTAGGACATTTTTAGGTCCTCAGCAGCTCCCCTCCCGCCCTGATGCTTTTAAACATTTCCCAGAAAGCAGGAAGACCAGGCTTCAAAGGGAAAAAGGCTATGAACTAAAATTCTCCCAAAAGTACGTTCTGTTCATTCCACGGAGGAGGAGATAAAAGTGCTTGTTCTAACCTTTTTAAGCTCGATTATCTCGTCATACATATCCTCCTTCTCCTTGTAGTCTGGAGTCCCAGGGATGTAGCCTAGAAAAGAAACCCGGCCCCCAAATAAAATATTTTAGAATTTAGAATAACAGAGTTGGAAGGGACCTTGGAGGTCTTCTAGTCCAACCCCCTGCTTAGGCAGGAAACCCTAGACCACTTCAGACAAGTGGTTATCCAATCTCTTTTTAAAAACTTCCAGTGTTGGAGCATTCAGAACTTCCGGAGGCAAATTTGTTCCACTGATTAATTGTTCTCACTGTCAGGAAATTTCTCCTTGGTTCTAAGTTGCTTCTCTCCTTGATTAGTTCCACCCGTTGCTTCTTGTTCTACCTTCAGGTGCTTTGAGGATAGCTTGACTCCCTCTTCTTTGGGGCAGCCCCTGATTATTTGCCACTATTTTTCCTCAAATCTTCGTTTCCAAGCCTTAACTTTCCAAAGCATGTGCCCAGCCTGCCTCGCCTCCTAGAGGCAGAGTTCCATGCCTCCAAACTCACCACGGCTGGCAGAGCGAGCGTGTTTCGGTTTCTTCATCCCCAAAGCTTCCTTGAGGTACTCAGGTGTGCTGCCGGCAAGAGGGGAGAAAGCAGTTCTGATGCCAATGTCGGACTTGGAGTGGCTCATCCAGGGACCTAGTGAAGAGGGGAATGGGGCTGTCAGCTGCCATCTCAATGCTCGCTTGCGTTTCGGTGCTATTCGCTGACAGATTGCCATGAACTGGGGGCAAGGGGGGAAAAGGCAAGGGGGAAAACGAAAGTAAGTGCTGTTATCTCTTCGAGATGCTGCTTCAAGGTCACCCAGCATATCAGCTGCATACCATCCTGCTCTTGAACTGACCGTTATGAAAACATCCTGCCTGAACCTGACTGCTCACAGGGGGTGGGCAACGGGAGGGAACCAAGGGAGGGAAAAAGTTAAACCTAGGGATTTTGGCCTCCGATCCTCAGTTCTGGCTATGCTTGTTCATAATACACTTTTTGTTTTGCTTCACAATACAATTGCAGGCGAGTGGTGGCGGGTCTGACAGGGGCACCAAGAAAGATAGCAATAGGACTTAAGAGTTGCACTACAATCCTCTCTGAGTGGTTTGCAGAATCAACCACAGTGGCGCAGTGGTGAGAATGCAGTATTGCAGGCTAATCCTGTTCACATTGCCAGCACTTCGATTCTGACCGGTTCAAGGTTGACTCAGCCTTCCATCCTTCCGAGGTCGGTAAAATGAGGACCCAGATTGTTGGGAGGGCAAGCGGCTAACTCTGTAAACCGCTTAGAGAGAGGGCTGTAAAGCACTATAAAGCAATATATAAGTCTACTGCTATTACTCCCAACAATCTGGGTCCTTGTTTTACCAACCTCAGAAGGATGGAAGGCTGAGTCAACCTTGAGCCGGTCAGGATCGAACTGCTGGCTGTGGCAATGCAGAGTCAGCCTGCAATACTGCATTCTAACCACTGCGCCACCATGGCTCCTAAGGGAAGACAACGCCATCATCCAGGCAAATGCATCTCCCCCCTTTGTGCAAATTCAGCTCCTGGCTACACGTTAACCAGACCTTTTCATCTGGATTTTAATCCCAGGTCTATTGAGCTCCGGAATGCTCTGTTAAAGGAAGAGCCAAGATTTCATACCTTGCTTCAGAGACCCATGCCAATATTGCCTTGAGGCTTTCACTAAGGGGCTCTCAAAGCGTTTACCCTCTGCGCTTTTAAACGTCCGCAGAAAGCCAGTCCTTTTAGAATGGAGGCAGGTGTGAGAGGTATATAGAGATCCTGCAGGAAGGACAAAAAAATTGCTTAGCACATTGTAAGCCGCCCTGAGTCTCCGGAGAAGGGCGGCATATAAATCAAATTTTAAAAAAAACCCCAAGATTAAAAGTTTTAAAAAGCAAGTTAAGATACTAACATTTTATTTTGTTGCAAGAGGAGCGGGCTCTTTAGGATCCCATGGGGAAAAAAGCAAAAAATAATTCATAATCGTGTGCATGCATATATAGAAAGCAGTGGTGAAATTCAAATTTTTTTACTACCGGATCTGTGGGCGTGGCTTGGTGGGCGTGGCAGGGGAAGGATACTGCAAAATCCCCATTCCCACCCCACTCCTGGGGGGAGGATATTGTAAAATCTCCATTCCCACCCCACTCCAGGGGAAGGATATTACAAAATCTCCATTCCCACCCCAATCTGAGGCCAGCCAGAGGTGGTATTTGCCTGTTCTCTGAACTACTCAAAATTTCCGCTACCGGTTCTCCAGAACCTGTCAAAACCTGCTGGATTTCACCCCTGATAGAAAGTGCTGCATAACACATAGAAGAGTGGGCCTTTCTTAATCAGGTAGCAAAAATGTGACATGTTTTTTAAAAAAACTAGGTAACACTTTTTGGAAGAAAGCATTGTACTTCTAGCAGTGAGTTCTACCTCTCAATCCCTTTCCATAAAAAAAGGAGCTCGAATCACAAAAACTCACAGATTTTTTTACTAAGACTAAGTTGTCTCAAAGGAAAGGACACCAGGTCAACCAATGTTGTGATGTGACACTTACTTGATTTTGTAGGCCTGCGAGACATTTTCTTCTTCAGTGTCTGTAAAACAAAACAAAACCAAGACTTTGTGTTGTAATTTGTCAAAGGGCATTTTTCTTGGTGAATTCCCCTGCTGGTTTTCCATTTTCTGAGCAGAATTCTCTTGCAATTACAGATTAATTGGAATCCGATGGCTACGAGAGCACCCAGGGTTTTAAGGCCACATCGATTCCAAAGTGTTCAAAAAGGCAGAAAACTAGTCAGAAGAGTTTGGAATCTAAAAGCAAAGGGACGTAGGAATTTATTGCAAAATTTTCTTTGTCTATCTTGAGTATCATAAATAGGCTCCAAACAGTTTGCCGGTTTAATTTGAATTAACATGAAATACAAAACTAGATTACTGTGATTTGATTAATAAACTTATTTTTTTATTTATAGAAAATGAGACAATTAAAAGGTATCTAACCCAACTTACTGCTTCTGTATCAGAATCATAGGTCAGAGCAAGAGAATTATCTTCTGCCTGTAAAGATACAATTATTATAAAATTTTATCCTGAAGTGTGGTATCTAAATAATTTTATGAGGTTGGCATTCACTGAGATGGAACAAGGGTCCATCAATAGGGTCAATTCTGACTGGCAGCTGCTTCTCTTTTATCCTAGAACCTTTAGCCTGAGATGGCTGGAATATGAGCAATCTAAATTTCTCAGGAAGCTTAGAAAAATAATAACCATGCATCCATCATCAGCCAACTGTGATGGTGGCTGGTCAGCTCAAGAGGCCAGTGACAGAATGCAGGTTACTGTCTGAAATGATCAGCTATAAAACATCTAATGTTTTCTCACAGATGTTTCATTACACAACTAGGTAACCTCTTCAGTACTAGTACGGTAAGGAGTGGGGTTTGCTCTCTGTATATATACTAATGGCTTGCTCTGTCAGTGTTGGCGGGAGGGTTCCTTGGTTGGGCTGTTTTACTACTTGATTGTTGTCCAGTATTAAGATAGATAGATAGATAGATAGATAGATAGATAGATAGATAGATAGATAGATAGATGTAGGTAGGTAGGTAGGTACATAGATGATACTGTAGATAGGTAGATAGATAGATGGTAGATAGATAGACAGATAGAGGTAGGTAGGTAGATGATACTGTAGTTAGGTAGGTA